GTGTGTGTGTGTGTGTGTGTGTGTGTGTGTGTGTGTGTGTGTGTGTGTGTGTGTGTGTGTGTGTGTATGTATGTATGTATACAAGAATTCGTACACATGCGACTCTCCATATACGTATTTTCGCATTGCATCACATATTTAAATTGCACAGCTAGATATATCGAACGGAACATGTACTTGCTACACAATCTTTTCAAAATACGTATCAGATTTTTGCCTATTTCGGCCGATAACCATTTCTCGTGGAAGCGAGTGTGCTGAGCACGTCATAGAATGCACAAAACCAATCATTACCTATTTTTATCTGTTGATCGCCGTTCTTGAACACGAAGTTATTGATGAGCACTTCGATGAGCTTGCCCATAACCATACTATGGTAAAATAGTAGGTATAAAAGCCACAGACAGGCCAACGCTGTCACAAAGATAAACACTGTCAGCGACAGGTCTACCCCATCTACAAAGGACGACATAGTCGACTAAATCAGAGATTTAAAACTCTAAGTTTGCATAGATTTTCTTTTAATGATGACTATATACGGCATTGTCTAACGTAGATGTCCATAGTGAATCTTTGCCTGGTATGTAGCTACATTCTATATCATCCCCTGCGCAATACGCTCAATAGAGAGTACATAGAACATAAAGGAACTATATTATATTATATTTATATGGCATATAATACTACTGTCTGTGCAAACTATACAAGAACCCTGTCTGTGCAAACTATGGAGAACCCTGTCTGTGCAAACTATGCAGAACCCTGTCTGTGCAAACTATACAGAACCCCCTCTAAAAATAAATATTGTAAATAGCTTTTTATTTATTGAAACCCAACATACAGAAAACAGATAAAAGTTAGGGTTCAAAAATAGACACTTCCAAGTACGTGGTTGGACACAACCGGCCCCAAGGCCCGACACCAGGTGCCTGCACCTGTCCTCCGGTCCAGTACTACGGCATTAACGCATTGACCCACATGTGTGAACCAGCAAGCACAACCAGAAGACTACTTCGTTACACGCCCCTAGTTCAATACCAGCAGTGCAGTTCTTCACCCTTGAAGTATCGTTTGCATGCACAAAGCTGTGTCTCAATAAATATTTGATTGTATCTAAGTTATGTATCATCTACCCTGTCTATCAGCTAGTACGAATAGGTTTGACCGATGTCAGATTCAAGCAACAACGAGGGATCCTTAATAATTCGATTGAACTAAGTAGACGATTAATATGTTAACAATGACCAATATGGATGACATGTAGGGACCACCCTTGTCAGCCTGGGTCTACGAAGGCCAGAAGCACTGCATGTTGCCATCCCCCCCCCCCTTCCCCACCCC